ACCCCCATGGCCAACCATGGTTCGAGTCCTGGACCTGGTGGCTTGCTTTCTCACTTTCCCTCTCTCTCTTTCTCTGTCCCTCTCTGCTCAAACTGGAAAAGAATCATAAATAAAGTTAAGTAAAAGAATTATTTAAAGAAATGAAAATGAATCAAATCATTGGTTCACTCATGGACAGTGGCTGGTATCTTTCTCTTATTCTTAGGAGTTTAACTGAATTATTGTGCTGCTGGATAAATGGAGTCAGACGGTTAAGGACGCAAGGGTCTATTAAAAGTGTCTTTTTTTTTTTCTTTTCTTTTTTTTCTTTTTTTTTTTTTTTTTGTAGTTTTTTCTTGTGGGGGGAACCACCTCATGCACTCGCCAGAAAAACAGAGAGACAGAAAGCGAGAAATCACCCCCCAGGGGGGATGGCCACACCGCAATCCCTTCTCCTCCATTCTCCTCTCGGGATCTTGGGCACGCATGTACATGCGCCCGGCATGAGTTTAAGCCACCGGGCCCAGGACTCGAACCGTAGTTGACTACGTGGGAGTTCAGTGACATAGCCATTATGCTAACTGCTGGTCCCAAAAGTCTTAAAAGCAGTAGAGCACCTGACATCAGGATGGTTAACCGACCAGGGAGACAGGTCAAACATTGGCTGGAACCAATTTCTGGATTGTTCTCGCTGTTGTTCACGTTGCTTTAAGTACTTTCTAACCTGGGATAGACTGTCCTGGGTAAGTGCTGATGTATTTGCATAGAAGTAGCCGTTTTCTCCTAGTGCCATGCTGAGTCCTCCTTGTCAGAGGTGCAGGAGGTGAAGGTCTCATCTGTCTCGAAGGCCTCCTTTGAGTAGGGAATTAACTGGTCATGCAACTGGGACACAGATTGCTTTAAGAGTTCCTAATCTGGGTCAATAACCCCAGAGGGTTCACGAAGGTGTTGATCACCCTGAATGAGCACAGTGGTCCCTACTGCCGTGGAACCCTGGGATATCCAGTCCCACGAGCAGGGATATTTAAATGGGAACTGTTTGCTTTCTGCGTGTCAAAGGGTGAAGACATGAATGAACTTATGCTAGAACTCGAGAAAAACTTGAATAAGAACGCAGAATGTAACCTCAGTAGTTAGAACACACTTTGAAAGATCAGCTGTACAGGCCCACCAAGTAGAGTCAGGGACTTGATAAGTAATTTTTTTAAAGAATTATTTTATTTAACTTTATTTATTTACTTATTTGTTCATTTGTTTTCATTTGACCAGAGAGGGACAGAGCAAGAAAGAGAGAGAGAGAGAGAGGGAAAATGAGAAAGAAAGCCACCAATTCTGGGACTCAAATCGCAGTTGGCCATGTGAGAGTCCAGCATCCCTAACCACCACGCCATCTGCTGTCCCCCTGATAAGTAATTTTAGTATCATTTATAAAGTGTGTTGAGGGACCAGCAGTTAGTGTAATGGCTATGTCACTGAACTCCCATGTAGTTGACTGTGGTTCGAGTCCCGGGCCCGGTGGCTTAAACTCACACTAGGTGCGTGCGTGTGCGCGCGTGCCCAAGAGCCCGAGGAGGAGAAGGGATTGTGGCATGGCCATCCCCCCTGGGGGACGATTTCTTGCTTTCTGTCTCTCTGTCTCTCTGTCTTTCTGGCGAGCACACGCGCCCTGTAGCAAAAACCTCTCCAAAAATATAAATAAATAAAAATAAAGGGTGTTGAGTTACAAAGTTGTAAGTATGCAGAACTGCTAAAAGTTTGATTAATTAGGCAAGTTCCCATTCCCTGTGTCTCCCCTAAGGTCAAATGAGAAAGGTTAACAGAGCGAGCATCATTAGTATGATTTAGGGGATATTTTTGTCCCACACCCATATAATACGGGGTCACAAATGCAGATAAAGCCAACTATCTTCCACTAAATCAGACTGGGAATGATTAAGAAGCTGATGAACAGGGACCAGCAGATGGCGTCATGCTTGCATTCCTGGACTCCTATGTAGTGGACTACAGTTCGAATCCTGGACCCAACAGCTTAAAACCCATGCCGGGTGTGTGTGCGTGCATGGCCAAGATCCTGAGACTTAAATGAAAGAGAAGGGACTGGGGCATGGCCTTCCCCCCTGGGGAGGGGGGGGTGACTTCTTGCTTTCTGTCTCTCTGTCTCTCTCTGTCTGGCAGGCAAGCCCACATGCCCTATAGCAAAAAACTCTCTCTAAAAAAAAAAAGAAGAAGCTGATGAACTATGGTAAGGATGGCCACGTGGGGAGCCCTAATAGGAATGGAGGTTGTCAGAGAGGACCCAGTACTAGGTGTCGTGAGTTGTTGGACTGGAGGTGCAGGGGACAATCTGTTGTCATCTAGCAGGTCTGCAGTGGGTCTTAAAGGTATCTGCTCTGGAGGGAGGAATTTCTTTTGGATCGTGAAGAATCCCTCTGGGTCTCTCCCTAACGCTTAGTAACAAACTCCCCATGTGTGACCCATATACCATCCTGAGTCCAAGATGGTAATATTCAAGGGGTCACTGGTACCCACTTTACATCCAGGGGTGGGTGTAGAATGCCTCTGTATTTATATATAGAAATCTGGGTGTTTAGGCTTCCAAGAAGCACCATATTCCGAGGCTCTCAACACTATGGCCTCACGAATCCAGTAGAGGCAAAAGTAATTATTATTAGTGAGGCAATAAGTATATTGCTTTCATGGGCCAGGGCAAAAGTACAATTCAATTTTGAATTCAAAATTGAACAATGAATTTAATTTTTAATTCCATTTTTTAAATTCCAACTCGCATTTTACTTTTGCCCCGAGAATGCGCCAGACAAGACCAACTTCCGGTGCCCCCTTGTTGGAAAGAAGGGATTGTTTCAAATAAGCCACAGAGGTCTATTTGGAGGGCAAAAGGTCCGCTGGTGGAGGCTATGTTACGTAGTTCTCTCCTGTCCCCATTCCAAATTCTCCAGGACCAATACGACAACTCGGCTCCTCCAGGCCTCCCCACAAATTGGGTGACAAGGAAAGAAATCAGGAGACGCGAGACAGTCTTAGCTCGAGGGGATCCTGGGAATCCTGGATCTGCCATGTTGAATTTCCTGCCTTTATCTCAAAGTGGTGCAACTCAACCGAGATACCATTGACTTGATGGCACTTGGAGTGGTGAGGGTGACAGCGTAGGGTCCCTTCCAAGCTGGAGTCAGTCCTTGGGTTGGAAATTTCTTGACCCACACTGAGTCTCTCAGTTGGAATGGATGGACAGAGTCCGAGGTGGGGATGGGCAGGGCATCTGGAACATAGTGATGACTCAACCTCCGGGTGGAGTCGAGGGCCTGTAAAAGCTTGAATAAAGTATAATGATGGATTTTTGGCTTTCATCTCCTCTCTCAATCTCGGGAGGAGAGATGGAGGTCTTCCAAACATAAATTTATAAGGGGAAAATCATCCCCGGTATGGGGTACCTCTAACCCGCAGGAGAGCAAGGGGGAACAGGGTGATCAAGTTTTCGCTGGTTTCTGTAATTGGTTATGAGTTGACTGTCCTGTTGCTCCCTGGATGGAGGTCTTCTTTATTGTAATAGGTCGCATGGGTTTGGTTAAAACAAAGTTAGCTGCACCAGTATCAATCAAAAAACAAAATAAAAAAATGAACAGGTTTGCCCCCTACTTGCAGAGTGACCGTGGGCTCCTGGAGGCTCATTGGAAAAGAGCCCCAGTTCCATCAATCCTCCTCTAGGTTCAAGACCTTTTCTTTTTGCATACCCTTTGGGGGCTCTTTGGCCCAGTGTCCCTTTTCCCCACACTATTAGCACTGATCCCTTTCTGGCGGGGTGTTGGGTCCTCTTATCCGATCCTTCCAGGCTATCTCCCCCTTGTTGACGTCTCTCATGGTGGCAACCATGACCCTGGCAATATTCTTCTTCTATCTATCCTTCATGGGATCTCGCCCATTGAAGACCTTTTGAGCCATCTCTAAGAGTTGAGATCTGTTCATTCCCTCTAGTCCTTCTAACTTCTGGAGCTTTCGCCTAATGTCTGCAGCTGATTGGGACACAACAGCCACATTCATAGCTCCCTGATTTTCTTGGGCATCTGGATCAATTGGTGTACAGTCTCAGTAAGCTTCACATAGGTGTTCTAGAAAAGCAGCAGGGAACTCCTGGGGGGGCCCAGAATGACTTCAGTTACGTATGACGGATTGGTGGGCTTATGGGCAGTGGCTAATGCTTCCCTTCCCCCTGTAGTATTTGGGTTCCAATCTTGGTGGGAAGAGGGAAATCTTCTCTCTATCCTATCTTAGTTTTCCACCAGTGTTCCTTCCCCATGCCTCAGTAAGGTTTTTCGAACTTCCCCCCAATCCTTTCCTTCTCCTTTGCCATAAAGAAGATCACTGAGAGCTGTTAGCAAGCATCCCAAGTTGGGTGATGAGTGTAGAAAACAGATGCTAATAAACTAATGGTATAGGAAGAGGGAGTGTCTTAGAAGAGGTAGAGACAGTCCATGTATGGTAGTGGTTTAGGGGGAGGGCTGACTACTGTGCCACATAGGGTTCGGTGCCATGTGCAGAGTAGAGCGCCGTGTGCAGAGTGGAATTCTGTGTGCTACGTCTGAGTTAGATCCGAGTGCAGTGCAGGTCTGATCTCAGGCTAAATCTGAGTTACATCAGCTGACTGCAGCGTGGCATCCAACTCCTATGTCCGAGCTGCCCAGGCATCTGGCCTAACAGTGACTCCGGGATCCTGGAATGTCCCAGGTGGAGCCTCCCCTAGAGTACCTTCAGGTATTTGGCAGCCAGCCCAGCGAGACTGCTCTCCTTCACTCAAGTACCAGTAGGTACGATCTTGCTGGGGCCTCCAAATGTTGCTATCTGATCAGTGCAAAAGAGGACACCTAGTCACGGCCAAATTATAGGATTCTTTATTCAAAACACAGCAGTTGCGAGAGGACTCACGTCTCTCAAAAACTGCTGTCCCAAGTGAAAGGAGAGGGGAGCTATAAAGACAAAAAAAAATCACAGTTTTTTTCTTGGTGGACATGGCGATTACAGTGGAAAAACCAGGAGGTGGAGGTGAGGAAAGGGAGCAGGGGATTCCTATGCAGAAGAAGTTACAGAAGCCAGATCTAGGAGGTTAATAATTTCTAGATGCCTGGTGATTGAATCACTAAGGAACATCTAAAGCAAAGGGGTTTCAGGTAAGGAACGTTAATCACTCTGTTTACTCCAGGCAAGAAGGAGGAAGCAAGTGAAACATAAAATTCGAAAATGAAAGTGCAGGCATCTCAAGATTCTCTATCCAGTAGAAATATTCATCAACAGGATCTGCAAATGGCGGAAAATAATTGTCACACCATTGGATTCCCACGTTGTCAATTGCGGTTCAAGTCCTGGACCCAGCAACTTAAAACTCACACCAAATGCGTGTGTGTGCCCAAGATCCCGAGAAGAGAATGGAGGAGAAGGGATTGCAGTGTGTCCATACCTCCCCCCCCCGGGGGGATGATTTTTTACTTTCTGTCTCTCTGTCTCTCTCTGTCTCTCCAGAGAGCACAGGTGCTCTCTAAAAAAAAATCATCGGTAATGAGGGGACAATAAAAGCATTCATTTATTGAGCACTTATTCTACGTGTGTTAGGAAACTACAGTAAAAACATGAATGGCAAGAAGTTCTGGCTTTCAAGTTATGGAGATATTCAACGAACACGTAAGATCAAGTTGTGTTATGGATACAAGGAACAAGTTGGGGGACTATTCCAGACACAATGGTCAGAGAAAACAGAACTACTTCAGAACTTTGTGCAAGGCTGGATTCATGGGGACCAGCAGGTGGCGTGGTGGTTAAGGGGCTAGACACTCCCATGTGACCAACCATGGTTCAAGTCCCGGACCCGGTGCCTTGCTCTCTATCTCTATCTTTCTCTGGTCAAAATTTTAAAAAATAATAAATAAGTGAATGAATAAATAATTTTTTTTAAAAAAAGCTGGATTTATGAGCTTTTCTACTTTGAGAGGTGATAAGGAAACTTTGAACTTGTAATATCTTACTGAAGTTTTTTTTTTTTTTTTTTTTTTTGAGAGGTGTTTGCTACAGGGCATGTGCGCTCGCCAGAAAGACAGAGAGAGACAGAGAGACAGAAAGCGAGAAATCACCCTCCGGGGGTATGGCCATGCCGCAATCCCTTCTCCTCTTCTCCTCTCCGGATCTTGGGCATGTACGCACACCCGGCATGAGTTTAAGCCACTGGGTCTGGGACCCGAACCACCAACGACTACATGGGAGTCTAGCGACACAGCCATTATGCTAACTGCTGGTCCTGAAGTTCTACCTTAATCATCTAAACTGAGAGGGCAATAGAGTAATGTTTGAGATTCTTTCAAAAAATAAAAAAAAACTAAAAAGCCACATCAGAAAAAAAAAAAAAACAGTTAAATATCAATATTTCAATGCAAGATATTCATTCACAAACGTGAAATTTCCGTGCAGGGGAACTTAAAAGGTTAAACCCGATCGCCAGATAGTTACAGCCGTCCTAGGCAGTAAAGGATATTTAGGAAGGAGACAGAGTGGAAGATGGAAGAAGAAAATCAAAACAGGTCAGGCGGGAGGAGCTGCAGGCCTGGTAAACAAGTCATAAAGGCAATTGAAATTTCTGTGGATTATGACACTGGGATCAGGAAATCCCGTGGGGTGGGGCAGAAACTTGGGTGGCACAGTGACAGATGTCGTTTAAAAACTACTTGAGTCATGACTCCATGTAAAGCAGGAAGAATCAATCCCAGCCGTTTCCAGCTTCGAGACGCTGCAGAGCTGGACTCAAAACTCCTTAGGGAGGGTACCAGGTTTAGAACCCTTGAAGTCTGCACCTATGACCCTGCCTGGGAATTCTAAAACCCGGGAGAAGGGGGAATTCGGAAAGCTGAGAGAGGCGGAGCTCAGGAGCCTGGTGGTTAGTAAATTCCAAGCAAGGGAATAACGCTGAAGGTCTTTGTCCAAGTCATACATTTTCTTTCGAGTAATATAGACGTAATCCTAAACATAAGCCAGTCGCAGCCACCTTCGCAAATTCTAGTACGAACCCGGCGATTCCTGCAAACAGTCCTTATGCTACGAGAAACCCCGCCTCCGTCCGTAACCATAGGAACGGATAACACGCTGGAAGCCTCAGATACCCGGTTCTGCCCCCGCCCTGACTGATATTGTTTCCCACTGTCTGTCCACATGGGCGCACCGCCTCATTATTGGTCCATGCCCCAGGACTGTGCCTTGCTCTAGCCAATAAACAGCCTGTGCACGTGCACGCTTGTTTCTTCCGATTGGTCACCGCTCCCTGATCACGCACTACCTTAATGCGCCAGCTAGTGCGTGGGAGCGCCAATGAAATGACTCAGTGGCCATGTACAACCAATCGGCAAGAGGCAGGGCTCACAGCTGGCCTATGGGAGCGCGCCAGGGGTGGGCTGTCCCGGCCCCTTTCCAGTACCAGCTGGGTTTGTTAAAGGGACAGGCCCCATCACAAGCTGGTGCTGCACGGGGCACCGCACAGCGGCCCTTGTCGAGCCGCGGGCGCCCGTGACAGCGGCGGC